CAGAAACAATTACAACATATAGCCTTCATTACAACTTCCTCCCGCCTCTCAAGTCATCTCCATAATGTTGAATGTTTATTGTTCTGCTTATACTAAACCGATAGTTGAAGATGTTTAAAATAACATATATTAGTTAAAACTATCCATATTTCGATCTGCTATATCCAAAGTTTAAGATCAACCTTCGGTAGGAGATGGCACCAAAAGAAGAAAATATCATCAACATTTAAAGTTTCAATTGAAAATATTATATGCCTTTTTAGTTTCTACGATGCTACGGGTATTCGTAGACAATACGTAGCTGATAACGTAGATTGCTTCTACTATACTCATAAGTATGTCTCTACTTGTAGGTAATTATGTACCATATGTAAATAATATCTACGAATGTTTACATTTCCTAAATTCTGTAGCGTCCTTGGAAAAAGGTTATTAAAATATGAACTCGCACTCTAGTGTGCAGACATCCTAAAGTCACCAAACGCAATTCTCTTGGTGTCTATTAAAATTTCTCATTCGCGACCGAATTATACGCAATTAATATGAGAACGGTAGACAATCGGGATATGGCGGGCTGCGGGGTGCGAGGTGCGGGGGTAAGAGGATCAGGTGTTCGATTCTCGGGCGAGTGTCGGAGAATGAATATTAACAACCCTTCCTGGCGGCGCGAGCGGGTAATTGAAAATAATAGGCCCGCCGCTAACTCGACGTGTGATTAACGTTATGTGATAATGGTCGAGCGACGTTCGCTACTTGAAAATGAATTCGCTTTAGCCTCATATACTGCGGATTAGGGATAATAATAAGTAGATTTTCTTTAATTTATTTAATTTATTCTTACCTTGTCGCTGTACCTGTGCCATCGGTACAATTCTTCCAAAGAAATCTTTATGTACCTGGGAAATAAAAATAATAACATTAGATTTGTTTTCATAAAACTTCAAATGTATCTGGAGGATCTAAAATAGAGATGTACCAGGGAACCATAAGTGTTGTAGTCATAGTAGAGCCTGCGCCCGCGGCGTCGTCTCCAATTAGACGAGTGTAGTCGCGACGGTCGTTAGCCGCGGCGGCCCTACATCGTTACCGCGCCCTCAACGACCACTGACGCCACTGAAACGCCACTGAAATACCACTGAAACGCCACTCGACACGCTCGACGTCTTCCTTTACTCGGCGTGTAGACAGTTAGCACGTTTTTTAAAGTAATTCTAAGTAATCACCCGACTGTGTAGACTATTTTATATGCTCTATGTAAAATTGTTATTATCTAGGAGTCGTTTTGAAATTTTCATTCGTAGTAAAATAATTGTTTCGCGATATGATACAGTTATTTTTAATTTAAACTAGCTGTCCACTCCGTCCGCGTGGATATATAAAAAACTTAAATAGTGTAGCCCACCCATCCATCCATCCACATCACATCCATTTAAACATTCGCATTTATAATATTAGTAAGTTAAATAAAAAGTAGCTCTTTAAGGCATAAATTCGAAAAATGAATAAATAGTATCCTATGTCCGTCTCCTGGCTCTAAGCTACCTCCTCACCAATTTTCAGGCATATCGGTAAAGCCGTTCTTGAGTTATAAATAGTGTAACTAACACGACTTTCTTTTATATATATAGATAAGTAGAAAGGAATGGTAACTACGAGATTATAGATACATATTAATAGAATGTTTGCTTGAAACTTGTATCATACGATAACTTTGTTTCGTCGCAATATTTTCTATCAGCCTGCCCCCGCGGTTGCGGTAACTCGTTACATAGACATAAACACAATTTGTCGCCCATAAAAGTTATCGGCGGTGTGTTGCGGAGCTTCATCGAAATTGTCAATCATGAGATGAAGCTCCGCAACATCCGAGATCCGCCTTATAGCCTTAACAATGTTTACAGATTTATACCGAACCGAGACTTGAGCTTTATTACGTTACGAATGTGAAGATAAAAAGAAAATCGTTTTGAATTACATGACTAATATTATTAATAATTTACAGTCTAATTTTACAATTTATAAATGTAATAAGTATTAAAAACAATATTTGAAATTTTATACAAATTGCGTAGAAGGTGCTACGGACGCTGCTACGAGCAGACTTGTTCAATAAAACACTTGCCGTAAAAAATTAAACTGTTTCACGCTTATGATTTAATGTTTAAAATCATTAAATAAGCTAATATTTTGTAGTATAAATCCTATATTCATCAGACAAGTAACGCTTGGGTACGCAAAACAAATTTAAACATTCATTCTACTCTCAAATATTTATCTCAAACATAGATATTTCGCGTTGTAGACGATATTTTTCCACTCGGATGCACCGTGGGGGGTGGTTGAAAGGGGGGTGTACTAGGTATCAATTCGCCCCGCCCCGCAAACAATACAATCAGAGGCAATCTGCCGCGCAAATAGGAAAATAGAGTGCGCGCCGAGACAGGGCCGCCTCGGGCGACTACGACGAATCTTTACACTTTTCTGCAAATTACACATTATGTCGGGTGCGCCCGTATGTTTTTAAATTGGCAAGCGGTTGCACTATTAAAGCAATAAATTAGAATGTAAAACAATTTATACGTTGTGTTGGCAAACGTTTTAAAAAACTGTTAAATTCTATTTGTAAGGAAAATCGTGTTTATATTTCTCATACTTTTAGAAACATGATTGAATACTAACACAGACGAAATTTCAACTTTCTTTTTGTCTAATTATTTATTTCAATGAATGTCATCAAATTTCAAAAAGATCGTGTTTTCTATTTATCTCTGCTTTGATTTGTAAATACGTTTAAATTACCCTACTTCAGTATGAAGTTTTTGCATTTACAAAAATCGAGTCCGTCCCCTACAATATCTTATTGTAACTCTAGGCTCGGATCCCTGGGAATCCGCGCAATTTTCCGCCGGTCATTTTTCATTGTTTCAACTTGAGAGCCCCGGGCTGGGCCAAGACCGATACTTATTTGTTACCACTCGTAAATACAGACATCGGTACGCTAAGATTGTGTTTACGATATACACGGATATAAGAGATTGTTTTGAAAGTTTAATTCTAAAGGTGAATTGGGGCTTATCAATGACTAGATGAATTTTGTTTTTATAACACCATTTCAACATGCAATTTGTTCTACTTTATGGTTAAATATTGTGATATTGTCGCAAATATCTTATTAATCTTACTCATATTATAAATGTGAACGTTTACTTGAACGTTTGTTTGAAGGTATCTCCAAAACTGCTGAACCGATCTCGATGAAATTTGACAAACATATAGAACATAGTCTGGAAGAACACATAGACTAGTAGCATATTGTTTTTTTTTAATTCCGCGCGGACAGAGTCTCGGGCGACAGCTAGTCAAGTCATATATATACATTCTCAGAGGTTCCTATGGCCACTCAACTAATATATACGTACTATTCTATAAAAAATCTTTAAAAGAAAAACTCTTTTACCTTTGTATGTATTTAAACATCTATTATTCACTAACCCATCCTTTTCTTTTATCACTGTCCACCCTTTGTTTTAAGATCGTTTTGATATGATTATTACGATAGCACTTTGGTAATAAAAGCGAAGCAAAGGTACTGACAAGTTAAATATCTTTTAAGCCTATAAACAATTCACGAGCGGTCAGAAAGAGGAAACACATATAAATCGTAATGGTTTTCCTATTTACTTAAAGATATTGTTTTTACTGCTGTATTGTGTGTGTGTAAGGCGCAATAGTTCTTTGACTATAATCTATAAGTTGAATACGGAGAATAAAAAAATAAAAAATCCTGAAACACAAGTGAAAAAGGTTCGTAGAAAAATCAAGTTAAACATAAATCGAAATTAAATATCATCTAATTTAATTTCAAGCAATAGTAATCTATTTGAACCTTTCTTGAAGATTTTCTTTAAGCAAAATACTAGCTATCGCCCCCGACTGCGTCCGCACGGAATTGGAAAGTAAGATAATTAGTAGATTATCTGTTCTTCCCATCTATGTTCTATATTTATGTCAAATGAGATAACTTCAAACAATATAGTAAGAAATAAGAAGTACGATTAGTAAGATTAATATTCATATGGTTGATATTTTAGAAGTGTTTTAAATTTCTCATTTAAAAATAACTATGCATTTTCCCGATGAGGTAATTCTTAACAAGGTTCGTTCAGGCTCTCACACAAATTATTCGCGAACAACAATTTGTTATTTTTATAAATTGATAATGGATACTCCCCGATCGCTTTAGCTGTATGATCGATCGCTTATAAACGTCAATAAGAAATTAGAATATAAATTTAATAAAAAAAACTCAAGTTTGCAAATGTAGGAAAAAAGGTTATTGAATTAGAATTTCGTTATTAACTTTATGAGTTGTTTAAAGTTGAAATGTCATCCACAAATGAATGACGTAACCGAGTTTTGGTACATAAATTGATACGCTTGTATTAAAAATAATAATAAACATAAAAATATATAATACTTTATAAAGAATTTTACCTTTTAAAGTCTTACAGGGGAACTAAGAAAGTTGCCAAAAAAATCTGGACAAAAGAGTCTAAGCCCAACAACAAATTGCAATTAACCCGACCATTTTATATAGTACGGTACAGCCTGCGGCACTCGCTTTGGCCTCAAAGGCGTGGTCTACCACCGATGGCTATTCAAACTTGTTTGTGTTAATCAGATAGGGTCGGCAATATGCAACATGTTTGAACAAGACTAGGCGCATAATGGTTTTTATGCTAGCAACTGTCGCTTTGAACTTATAATTAGTGGTCACAACAAACCACCATAACTTAGCAGATATGATGATATCTTTTCCTTTCCTTAAAGTATATAGCTACAAAATAACTAACAAGCTTCCTACAAAACTTCCTAGGCGAATACAAGTGATATTTTAACTTGTAAGAAATTCCTATACTAATATTATAAAGAGGAAAGATTGGATTATTTGTATGTTTACATTAAATAGGCTAGGAAACTACTGTACCGATTTGAAAAATTATTTTACTGTTGGGAAGCTACACTATCGCCGCGTGGGATAGACTATATTTGTTACTTGTTTTTTTTTTTGATTCCGTGCGGACAAAGTCGCGGGCAACAATTAGTATTAAATACAACATAAAACTATGGGTGATTTTTCAACCACAAAATTAACACTAAAAATATGAACAAAATAACATTTGTTTTTTATTGTTCTGTTCTGTTTGCATCCAAGGTGCAGGAAAGGGTGACGTTGGAGCGAGCATCGCCGCGGGCGGCACATATGGCGAGCTCACTACAAAATTGTGTAAATTATTCGCATGTTTAATTTTTGGAACCGCATTATTTGAGCCTATTTGAATTGTAGCCGCCTCCTAATCGTAGTAGGATTTGTGACAAGATTAGTTACAATAATGCAAAGTTAGGGGAAGGGGAATACAGTCCTTGTTTATAATTGGAAGCGTAACAAACCTTATTATGTTCGTGTTTAGCTTGATATTACAAATATGTGTTAAAAATACTTTTTTTAATTAATCATGGTTTAACCTATGTCTAACGAGTGTGGTTTTTATTTACGACAATTGAAAAAAAAGAATTTTTTAATTACACTAATTTATTCACGATTTTAATGTGATATGAATCAATACTATCTAATTTGAAGATACTTGAGTTTTATTAAAATTTGGTTCGTTACTTGATAAAATAATAAAAAAACTTTAGAATATGTTAAATCAACCTTCAAAGGAAATCAAGTGAGAAAAAATGCAATAAATAATGTAAAGAGAGAAATATGCATGGAGTAACAAAACGCCTGGAGGCAGAGGAGTGGGCCGTTCGTTTCCAAATTCAAATAATAGTGTAACGAGCTCGCGCGGGATCGCAACCGACAATCATATTACTGCGTACCGCATACACA